ATAAATCCTGAGAAAGGTCCCAATTTCACATTTTTCTCTAAAATATAAACCAAGCAATTAAAAAAAAAAATCCTGGCTTATCTCAATGCCTTCTGACATATATATTAAGCACTTCTTTCTCCCCACTCTTTGAGGAAATATGCAGAAAGAATATACATATTTATTTTATTTTTTTTTTTAAGAAATGGGAAAACCAAGCAGTCTGCTGAACTCACACAGCCTTGGGATGGAGTGGTTCTTCAGTTAAAGGACTAGGCTTCTCTTCTTCCAGAGGAAGTTCTGCATCATCCCATGGGTCTGGAGGCTTTGGTTGTTCCATTTTTGCATCTCTGGAGATGCATTCTGAGGTAGGAGGGCTTGGTGTGGTTGTTCTAGGAGGTGTGTTAGCAGGGGTAACCACGGGTGTGCCAACATGCCTCGTGGCAGCTGGAATCTCAACACCTGCTTGTGTGAAATCAAATTTCTCATCAAAAAGGAAAGCAGGAAGTACATCTCAGACAGTGAGCTAGTCAGTCCTACTAACACTTGTGGGTTTTGTGATACTTTTTGATAGTTATGGCAACAAGACTAGATTAAGACAGTTTTCTTTCTGAAGGAGCTGCAATAAAACCTCAGTTGCTTACTTCCTTCAACGAGGCAGACTGCTCTCCATTTTAAATACTAAGCTGCTTTACTTGGAGAGTGTAAGTTTGGCTTAACATTAAAAACACAGGAAGGAGCAAAAGCTATTTTTCTGATGTGAAAAAGTGTGGAGGGGCCGAGACGGGTGGAAATCACACAGACCAGAGAAACAGGCATTAAGTTTGAAAATAAAACTGTTACCAAATAAATGATGTTTGCTTTTTACACGAATTAACCCATAATTTTTGTACTACATAAGTTCACACTTGAATTATAGCCTCAAGAGTATTTATCCTAAGAGATAACGTGTCTTTGAAGAAGAAAATTAAAGGCAGTAGATTAAAGCATACTTGCTACTTCTAATCTTCAATTACTATTTTCACTACCTGTTTCTTTAATTTTTTCATGTTCATGAACATCCCCACTCCTTTCTGTAGGAGCTGGAGAAGACTCTGGAGTTTTGACTGGAGGCAACTCTTTTTCTGAAGGTGGTGTTTGCGGTGGTGTGGCCTGAGGTGTTGGCAATGGAGTAGGCACAAGAGACTCCTGAGGGGCAAGAAAAAATCATAACCACAGTTATTATCTCAGTGTAAAATTCCTATCTTCTAAGTATCCTCAGAGATAGCTGAGGAAGAGAGAAAAAAAAGCAGGTTATCACAGAACAGGAACAGTTGTTTCTTAGATACATGCTTCATGGATCTACCTCCTTCACTGAAACATAAATTTCCACCAGGATAAATGGTATGTCTGGACATAATGAATTAAAACCCACTACATTATGCATTAGAATGATTACATTTGGAAATCACTATGTATACAACAGAACAGAATAGACTATTTCAGCCAGAAGGTACCTACAACAAGCATCTAGTCCAACTGTCTGACCAGTTCAGGGCTGGCCAAAAGTTAAAGCATGTTAAAGTCATTGTCCAAATGCCTCCTAAATACTAACAGTTTGGGGACTACGACCACCTCTCTAGGAAGCCCATTCTAGTGTTTGATCACCTCTCAGTAAAGAAATGCTTCCTAATGTCCAGTATAAATATGAATTAAATGATTATATGAATTTTAATAAAGCATTTGATATGATGTTAAGCAAGAAAATATTTTGTGACATGGATAAAATTGAGTCAGTACGATAATTTTATGGTAGCAGAAGCAGCTAAAGAGAAGATTACACACAAAGCCATAGCCAAGACAGTAAAGCACTAAAATAAGAAATATAACTGTGATGTTCCTCATTTCCATGGAGATAAAGCTGAGAAGCAAGTATGATGGTTGTCGTTTAGCCCTGTATGGAGGAATATGATGGATCTCTCCAAGTTTTTTCCAGCCCTCTTCTCTGATATTTCATAAAGAAAATAAGACAATAGGCCTAAAGAAAGGCTTCCAGGTGAGTTTTTGAAGACTAAATCATCAGCCTGCTGACTTTTTTTAAAAACTCCTAAGGGAAGTGGAACATGCTAACACATCTGGCAGTGCACACACAAGCACGTGGCACTGAGCACCAAAGAACTTGGTAACTGGGCAGCTGAAGTTCCAGACAGGAAACTTCAGTGAGAAGCAGCAGATCAAGAACGTGTAAACTACGTATTCAAGAACTTCTCCTATAAGCTGAGCAGAAATGGAGAAAGGAAAAGAAAAAAGAACAGCTGAGAAGTGTACAAGTTATCCAAAGGATAACTATAAGCCACAGATATTGAAAGACTTCAAAAAAAAACCCACCATAATTAGCTACCTGAGATTCCAATACTGGTGGAATCGCTACCATAGCACAAGGCACTGAGGAACCCCCATTTTCCATACTACTTTATTACTATTAAAAATGTCTGTGGGCACATTGGATTGGCCTTGACCACGAGTAACACCAAACTGGAAATCATAAAAGTGCTGCCCACCAGCAAAAGTTGGAAAATGGTACATATAAACATGCTTGCTTTATTTAGTGTAATCAAATGCCAAAAAGGACAAAACTAGTCTCCTGAAGTGTGCAAATCAATAGATATAGTAAAGTGAAATTTCAGTGATTTCAGCCTAAGAACATTTCAGTTTCAGCTGGTACAGAAACAAGGTCTAAGAGGGCCATGAGTACATGTAGATTGGTTATTAAAAGAAGTTTCCAAGTACTAGAAGAACAAGCTACAAAGAACAGTCCAGTTTAACATTGTACCCTCCTTAATCTGCAAGGAGTGAAGAGTTCTTTAGATGCAGGATGAGATGAATTTAAGCCTGCAGCAGTGAAATCATTACATTTGGCCACAGAATAATGTTGGTCCCTTATAGCAGGCACTAGGTGGTACTTCAGTCTACATGCACTGTAGCAGAACAGACCAATCGATCTCACTCTTCACAAAGATCTGAACAGTCAGATTTCTAAGCACAGCAATTTCCACATTCATCCCAAAGACATTTTGCCACACTAGACTGTAGCACAGCCATGTTATTATCAAACTAAGAGCCAGCTGCCATTTGATTATCAAAGAGAACAGAGAAAATTATCCAGTATTGCAGGAAGCTCTACTAATCATTTTAGCATTTACTGAAAACTACTGAACTCAAAACTCAGAAAGAATTAATACCCATTTTTACAGATGCCCCTAAGACCAGAAATAATATCACTCTCAGCTTCTATGTTTTCTTATACAAAGAAATTAGTTTCTTCATCTTTCATTTCTTTGTGAGAAAGTAGCATAGCTATCTTTGTTGAAAATAACACGAGCTATCTTTTGACACCATGAAATTAAGTACCGAGTCTTCCGCTTAGAAATCAGTTTTGTGCTCAGCCTTAAAGCAGAAAAATAAATATAGCATGTTGCATGCAGCACAAAGCAATTCATTTTTTTTTCTTCTCAATGTTTTAAAAAGTGAAGTAGGTTTAATCTTGTTGCTTGCTGCATAGGATAATCAAAAAATGTAAATCATGCACGTTCAGTTCATCAGTCTTTCTCCTCCATCTTTGTCTTGCACATCACTGAACCACCATGCCACAAATAAATTATCCCTTAGAACTCCATTAGAAAGCTGAAAAAAACCAGACTCTTACCATCATAGTCATTGCACTTGGAAGGATGTCTGCAGGAGGAGCTGGTTTCTCAGCCTGCCTTTTACCCAGCATGGTGGCAATTGTTTCACTGAGAGCTTCGTTTACTAAATGACTTATCAACTCTGAGTCCACAGGCATGCCAGCATTGATGAAGAGCTGAAATCCTCTGCCACCTGCAACTTCAACTGAGAATGAAGAAATGCTAAAGGATGCATCCAGGTCTCACTTCTTAAAACACATGTGCCATGGAGCCACCAAATTATTGACCATGAACTGTGAAACCTTGGCAAAAAGTGATTTTTTTTTTTTATTTTACAGATAAAGAAACAAGTGTCGGGAAGCAATTCAGGATCATAAAAGAATGCAGCAGCAAAGGGCAGGGATATCACAGGATAAATGCATTTGTCTCCCACTCTCACACATTTATAAAGGGCGTAATTTTTGACATAACTATTAACAAAAAAAGGGGCAAACAAACATTACAGGCTTTGCAAAATGCCAAATGTGATTTAGATGACCAATAACAGAAGCTGACTTGTAAAGTGGTGTGTTTTATATGTTCTTTTTCTTTTATGTTTTTAGATAATTTATTTCAATGGCCATATAACACTAGCTCTGTCTCAATAGAAATTAAAGTGGTTTTGGATTTTAGAGTTTTGTTGGTTCAGCATTATACACTCAGGCTCAGGCAAGAGCTACCCACACAGCTTGTTAAAATTAGCCAAAAAATCAAGATAATCCATCTACTGAGAACAATAACTCCTACTTACCAATGTCAGAGGTCACAGTCTCACTGTCTTCACTCTCTGAGGTGCTAACATTGGGCACTGTCTCCTTCTGAACTGGGTACATGCTACTGATAACTTTTGCCATTATTTCTTGCTCCACCCTAGCAGAATAAAACTTGTTTAACCATCAGCAAACACCAACACGTCTAAAAGTATACAAAAGAGCATTCTTGACATAAAATGCAAGACAGCTCAAAGTAAAAGGGAGAAGGGAAGGAAGGGGGGAAGACAAAAGGGAAGGTATTCTTACAGAGGCTTTCCTTCTTACAAATATATCCTCTTGTTAAATTGCAACTCACCAATTTATCAACCTATTTTCTATAGTTTCTCTCCATTGAATCAGTTCATCCACAACATCAGAAGACTGCTGAGGAGTAGAAGCCACTGGAGGAAACAATGGACCATTGTATTTTGGTGAGGCAACTTTAAACTGTCCATTAAGCTCCAGAAGAGGCTCACAGAATTCTGGAATTTCATCCCTCTCCTCTTCCTGATCCTAATAAATAAGTAGTAAATTAAATTATGGTGAGTTTCTGGAAAGCAATGTCATTGAGGTAACTGTCAGACTTTTTTATTTCAGAAACATTTGTGGATGTGTCACAGCACACAAACCACACTCTCCCTTCTTAATACGTTGTAGTTAATTGATACAAATCTAAACTTAGCAAGTCATAAATCTGCAGAGGTATAAAGCTATAGGAACTGCTAAGTAAAACATGATTTGGCTCATATTTCCTGCCTGTGCTGCACGGGGCAGGGAGCCAACAGTAATGCTAATACTTGAGAAATTTACTTCTGACATAAGTCAGGTTTCTTTAATATATACTCCAGAAGTGCTCCTCCTTTAAACAAAAACCTTTAGGAAACTTTCTACAGTTAATTGTTAGAGTAGGTTTTTTGCTTTGGTTTGGGGCTTGCTTCTTCTGGGGTTTTGGGGTGTTTTTTTTAGAAATTAAACTTTTACTATAAAGTCTCCTATCTGCAAAGAGACATACCCAAAAATTAACAAGCATTTAGTCAGTCAAAACTCTAATAAAGTTGTTAGCACTGAAGACTAGATAGTAATAGTTTACACATACATTACATGTATGCTTACACTGTTGTTACCTTCAGCTGCTGGAAGTTAAAAGATATTCCTGGGTAATCAATTCACAAGATACTCACAGACACTGAGTTTAACCTTAATGTGCTACTTCTAAGAAGTTATGGAAGTTGGTCAGTGTGTATTATAATGTTTGACTGTTTCCAAAGATGCCACACTCCTCCTTCCCCCAAGCACACACAGAGTATTAAGTCCCAAAACAGTCACCAGCCCATCGTACTGTAATGTAACACTTCAGAAATGCCTCATGACGGATGAGAGCCGGCATCCTTCACTTACAATATTAAAAACAAATGTCTCTAATAGTAATATGACTCTCTAAGAAGAAAATTTGGCATGCCAGAAAGAGATGAGGAGCCGATCCCTAAATTACCAGTGAGAAGTATGTGCCGTTGCATAAAAGAGCTCACTGTAAATCTACATTTACTAAGATTAATCTCCAACCTAGTTAAAGAAGAAAAAACTCTTCTCTTATACAAATTAAATTAACTTTTAACCCCTAAAATAAAAAAAAAAAAAAGAAGTGCCACTATATATTTTCTATGAATAAAAGAACAAATCACTAAAAGCAGGACTAAGAAAAAAGGAAAAAAAAAAGAGGTAAGAGTTTGGCTTTTTTAAGATTTCCTACTGGAGTTCTAAGGGATAATTTGTTTGTGGCATGATGGCTCAACTACATGAAAAAACAAGAGAAGAAAGAAAAGAAAAACATTTTACTATCTCCTTCTCCAGCCCAGCATTGATACTTCTCTCCCACCTTTAAAACTGGTAAGTCAGACTGGCCCATGATGGGTATCACAACAAACAGCTATTGGGGAGCAGGATCTTTCTGGATCTTTAACTAGTAATAATTTTTCAAGGAATAGCTGTAACTTACAAAGCAGGCAAAACAGAATACATATATTTGGGTGACAAAGATCTCTAAACCATTCCAGGCACAGCAATAAGCCAGGAAAGTTACACTCAGAATGGCACTGGATGCCCTGCAAGCTGATAAGCAGCTCATTCCGTGAGGATATATGTATTCATAACCATAATTCATCCTGACAGCAAATGTAAAGATGTCTTTGTCCAATATTCCATTCTGCATTTTCTTCTGACTGCACTGCTCCATAAATTTTCTTTGATGTTGCCTATTTAATATAATCTTTTCTGAAAGTATGCAAAATACAAACATCTGGATTAAATAAACCAAGCACGTATGATAAATCTTACATATATTTAGTAGCTTCTGACAAACTTTTGCAGTTCTCCTGCATTTCTGAACTACGTGCAAAAATATTTTATATTTAATAGTGCACAAATCCAAAAGAAAATTATATTCATTTTGGAGTGATATCATCTCTGCTGAAATGCAAGAATAATAGAACAGTCAGTATTTAATTATACAGACTGAACTTCCACATATATCACCTCATAGACCAATCCTGAATTATCTGCACTCAATTCTGCATTTCACCTCCCTGGAGACTGTCGAAAATATCTATCATGACTCCCAATCAAAATACAGCATAAATTAGGAAGTCTTTTAGATATGATTGGAATATTAATCACTGTACTTTATAAAAAAAAAGTATCAAGCTGAAATCCTACTTCCCAAATTACTTTCAGATAATTAAAAAAAAATATTTGAAAAGATTAAGTGGCATAGATTAATTTTATTCCATTACCAAACATGTATATGCATAGTCTTCTATTAAAGCCATCCAAAACTCAGTCATGGATTTCTTCTTGACAGATTTCTAAAGCACTTTCCACAAGCCAGCTCAGGCTGCATTGCTGTGATCTTTTGTCTGAAGCTATACATGTAAAAACAAATCACTCCTCCCAAAAGCATCTATAGGAAATCAGGGTTGAAGAAAATATGTTCACCCTCATCTCTGCAGGTTATGTGCTTTGCAGTGGTACTCAAGATGGAAACAAAAATTCTGAGAAGTCCCCACCTTGCCATTAAGGGATGTTCAGAGAGAGGAAAAAGCATCTCTGATCTTAAGTCCTAGGAAGTTTGCTGAAATTACTGCAGGCTGTGACTGCTCATAAGAGCTGGAGAGTGGACTCAATAAATCCCAGAACCCGTTCACGTTCTGGGCTCACGTTGGCTGAGTGAGTTTCTCACTCTGGAATAAGGCAGGACCATGCAAGGGCTGGCCTTAGAAAACCTCTTCTGTGCAGACAGTCTGAACCTAGTCAGTTGTAGGTGCAACCACTGATGAAAAATAAAGCAGTGTGTAAATCAAAGCTGTAACAGCTTTTGCTCCTTTATTCCACACAAGAATTTTTTGACTGGGAAATAAGAGCACTGAATTCAATGATTTTGCAAGATGGAGTGTCTCTAAACACTACACACAAGGTTGCAATGGGAGAACAAGGCACATCACCTCTTCCCATAGCAGGGTTTGTGTTTTACAAGTTGAGGCATGTTGCATTAGTCCTAAAAATTGTTAAAATAAAACTGTTAGGCTATGTGATAAAAGGTTTGTCTCCATCTCCACAAATGAGCACAGCAGAACAACAACAGTTTGGAGAAAAAAGGAACATGGCTTCCAAGCTCCCTGACGTGTGCTTGGTAGTCCAGGTTCCTCACTTTCTCACTTAGTAGTCCTCCCTACTCACTTGGTAGCCCAGTCCTCACATTCCAGGAGAGGTGGGACAGGGCTCTGACCAACCTGTTCTAGCTGAAGACGTTCCTGCTTACTGCAGGTGAGTTGGACTAGGTGACCTTCAAAGATCCCTTCCAACCCCAACCATTCTGAGATTCTACCCCAGACCTCCACCCTGAACTTCCAGAGAAGGGAAGAGGAGCAGCATGTTGATGCTGTCTGAGTGCTGCTCTGGGCAGCCACTCATGCACAGGTACGTGTACCACATCCTGTGCTTCTGTGTGGGCCTGCTGGCAATACCTCAGCCTCACTCCCGGCTGGAGCTGGGGGCAGGCAGCTGGGGCAGCCTTGCTGCATTAGGCCACCACTGCTAACAACAAGCACGTCAGCTCCTAAGTATCTCCTAAACCTGGTCTGTCTGAGAGGTGTCCTTGCCCACGACAGGGAGGTTGGATTAGATAATCTCTAGGTTCCCTTCCAACCTAAGCCATTCTATGAAATAAGTGTCTTCTAGTAGCAAAACAAATCCTAGGAAAAAGAATTGCCCAGGGCAGGGTCCTGAGACCTTTTTGCAATATCCACCAGGGAAGAAGAAAACAGAGAAAAAGATATCTAGGAAAAAAGCTATTTCACACAAATACTTATCCTCTTCAGTTCTAACAGAGTGCAGTTTTCATAATAAGAGGAGTGTGGGGAGAAGACAACAGCAAGCTATTTTCCCACAGAACACTTTATGCACTTATATTTTTTCTTGAATCTGAAACCTCTTTTATAACAATAACCTTGCTTTCTTTTGATGTCTTAAACACCCCTGCCACTCCAGAGGTTGATTTTATGCTTTCACATTGTGTTTGCCTTGCACATTTTTAAGAACATTGTCTGTGTGGTCATAGGCCAAACATATGTTTCACTTGGAACATTTTTTGGTATTGTGGTTAAAATAAAGCCCATTGCCAAAAAATAAAAGATAAAAGCAATCCAGGAGAAAAATGGAAAAAAAAGATGAATAATTATTATTCACATATAAAAAAATTTAACATTGTGGTGGGTTTTTTTGTTAGTCCATAAACTGATCTCTTAAATAGCTCTCCTATTTATCTTCATAAAAGAAAGCTTTTTTTTTTGTGCAAACAGAAGAAAGTTGTCCAAATAGGTTTAACTCCTCCTTTCCAATAACAAGATTTTGAAACTAAAAATGAATCGAGCATTTTCCCACTTTTGATAGGTTAAGTACCCCTTTAGGACTCTTTTAACTAACTGATAATGTTAAGTGATGAATTCACTTTAAAGCTAGCTCTACCATACTGACCTGTAGGCTATAGAGTTAGTATTTGATGGACACTCTAATCCTGGTATCAGAAGCACACAGAACAGTGAAAAAGAATACATTTTGGGGTAGATTTTGACATGTGTAGAGCAACTGTAGCACACTGGAAAGAAGCTTGAGGAAAAAGCAGGAGGTGGAAGGCAATCACATAGTAATTTCTAATGTTATTTATAGCACTTTGAACAGTTCATCATTGCTCACAATGTGTATTTTTCAAGTTATTAACAAAGCAAACCAATTTTCTACATTGCATTTTCCATTATCACAGAATAATATAAAACAAATATTAAAATATTTAAAAGGAAAGGACATCTTTGCAATATAATTACCTGCATGGCATCAGTAACATCAATGAAATTAGTTCCTGGAAGCTTTGCATCTTCTTCCTCACTATGTCTATCTTCTGGAGTCTTACACAGACAGATTGAAATTGTAAGGTTATATTGGAGGGGGAATGCATTAGCACAAAAATTTCATGAGAAGAATGCAATTAAATCACAACTCACTGTCAATAGTCTTAATCCAGAAAAAAATGCTTTATCCACCCTAAAAGTTAGGAGGAATTTCTTTGCACAGTATAAAGATATGATTAGAACTTTTTCTGGCATGTTGACCTCTAGAACCTGCTATTACCAAATCTAGTGGACTATCTCAACATTTAAAATTCTACAGCAATACCTGTAACTCTTATTACAAATACAGTATGACAAAATATTGTAAAACATAGCACACCAGAGAACAGAAGTGCCTGAAGCATTTTGTGTGTGATTTCTACAGTGTTATCTAATAACAACTTTTTAAAATAATCACCACTATTTTAGTCCACGGTCTCTATTTTATTCAGTGAAATACTTTGACCACAGGACTCTGGAGGACCTAATCTCTGAAGTCAGAACAGCAGCTAACATACAGGGAAAATAAAAGGTGCAGTAACTATGCAAAAAATAATCACTACATCACTCTGCCTCCACACTGCCCAGCCTCTGCACTGCACAGGACAGAAATCCACTGGAAGAAGCAATATGCCATCTTTAAACGTGTGTCCTAGTTTACAACCTTATCATGCAGCAATTGAGCTTTAATTTGCACAAAGAAGGTCATTATTGTTTAGATTATTAGATTAAAAACAATTCTGAACAGTTGTATGGAAAGAGAAGAGAGCAGACCAGCCAGCTCCCCATACAACAGACTACCAGTGGACAGGCCACTGATCACTGAGGTACAGCCCAGGAGCAGATGGAGGAATGAAAAACACCCTCAGCCTTCATGCCAGAACACTGAAGTCAGTATAAATAAACCAGACATGGGCTAATAAGGGATTACAACTCTTAACAGGACAGAGAAATGCTGGTTTTCTCAGAGTTCTGCTATAGTGATGATGTAATCTGGGAAGAAAATTGTCTTGCTGCAATTTTTCATTTTCTTAAACAAAAAATCATATTATGAAATCTCCATAATAATTACTCCATTTTTCTGGAACTAATTTCTCCAATTAAAACAGGATAATGAGATACCTCTGTAGCAATTCAACGTATTTTCTTTTTTAACAAATTTGAATTCAGAGACATTTAGACCATCATTACCTGTATTAAAGCATCTCCAGGATGAAGTGCAGGTTCAGAGCCTGGAAGAACATGGTTTATACTCACACTGTCACTTGAAACACTGTCAATATCTACATTGGGTAACACCTAGGATGGAAAAAAAGCATGTCTGAAAATCTATGTGTTAGCTCAGTTACTACTGTTGAATTTTTTAGATTTTCTCTTCCAGTTGATACTAAGCCAGTAAACTTCAGTGATCTCCTTTTCTCATACCTGTATCTAATAATAACTTAGTTCTGAAAAACAAAACACTGCAAGGTACAAAAGCTAAGCCTAGAAATATCCACCTCTTTTCTTGCAGTACCCAATTTCTCTTGCTCTCTCCAATTCCCTGATACTTTGTCTTGCATGTGACAAAGGGTGATTGTAACTATATAGCAGATTGACTCGCAATTCATTTACACTACGTTGGCCTCCAAGCCACTGTGTAGGCTGGTCCTTGGCTTCACATTGTCATACATCTGGTATTGTAAAATAAAAGGATAATTGTATTACAGCATCAAAACGTGTTGTGTTTTTTTTAAGAACAAAGATTTAATTGCTTAATTCTTTGTGGGGGGAAAAGCAAAGTCACCTTAAACATTTAAGAACCGTGTGAATTAACAGCAAAATGAATGTGGGTGGAATACAGTGATACAGGAAGGGAACAAACCACATACTACTCTACCTGTACTTTGAGTTGTATGAATCATTTGTATCTAAAAGGGGTGTGTAGGAGTGTGTATATTCTCAACAATTTGAATCCAAAATAATGATCATGTAAGAAACATTCACTTCCTTGACAACAGACTCATGCAAAAAAAAGTTTATAGAACAACCAGCCCACTAGGTAAGGATGGCAATGGCTGATTAATCAGGAGTGAAATCCTTGGGTTGACTATTATGCTTGAAAGAAATCTGAAAGGCCAAAGCAGCCAGCCAAGAAAACTGACATTTCTTTAATATTTTTTTTTTTTATTCCAGATTTGTTCTGGCTCAAAAATCTAATCTATTTTTTTAAAAAAAGTGACAGAAACACCCTGCATCACAGTCTTATGGAAGTAACAGTTTTATATTTTGGTCGAATAATAAAGATAATTGCTAAAATATTAATAAAAATATTTGCATTGGACAACTTCTGGACCCCTCAGTTCTGTATGTTTCTATTGCTCACTGAAAACCATCTACTGGTATCCATCAGGAACTTTGACGAGACTGTCTTTATTAGCATTTATTAAAATAAACAAGCAAATAATCATCAGTCTTGACACATACCTGCACAGAGAGTTGAGGTGGATCCTTTTTCTCTGATCTCATCTCTGTTACAGCTATGTTTGGGGTTTTTATCTCAGCTGGTGGTGGTTTTGGTGGCACTTGAGGAAGAGAAGTTGTGACTGTAACAGGATGTGGTTTACCTATAACTAGTCCATCAGACTGCAGTGAGATATCACTGAGTTGGGTCTGACCTAAGGACAGTTTAAAAATAATTAAAGATAGATTTTTATATACGTAAATCTCCAAAGTGTGTAAATTGATAAATTAATTAAAATGAAATTCTGAATGTCTATGTTTTACATGAGACTGAGATCTCATACCTAATTACAGAGCAATTAAAAAGTCCCCTATGAATACTAAAGTGTAAAGCTTCAGCAGGTAATTTTAAGGCTTTCCCAGCAGAAACTGTAAACTCAACACTGCCATTTAAAAAAATTATTCACTTTTCTTGCCTATGGTGACACCTACTGCTGAAAATGAAAATAACTACATTGTGTTTGCCCTTCAAACCCACACCACGCTTCCCCCACCTCACGTTTTCTTTATCATATTTGACATACTATTACTTAGAATAGCATCCCACAAATGTTTGTTTGAGATGCCCTTATTTTTATTAGTTCATTAATTTTTTAAATGACAATATAATACTAAACCTTCCCAAAAGACCTGCATAGAAGCTCTACTGATGACCCAAAACTGCAGGAGCCATGACAATGAATTCAGTGCATTTGGCACAATCCTATTGAAATTGTGGGGCTGAAGTTATCATAAAAGTTGTATCCAAGGGCCATTGATTCAGTTTCTGCTTACTAGGATACCAAACTTAAAGCCAGAACAAGAACCCTAGAAAGGTAAAGTTTACCAAGGAAGGCATGGTCAGCTAAGCAAATAATGGCTCTGTCAGGGGGCCACCACACATCCAGCAAGAAGAGTGAGGAGAACCAGAACATTTTAAAATGTTTTCCCATGCAGACTTCCAAGGAAAAGGGCAGCTACAAATCATGGACCAGGGCAAACTGCCGACTTAAGAAGATGCAAGCTGTATTTCCATGAAGTAGCAGTAATGAACCCCCAAACATCCTCCTACAGGTTATTCCTCCTACCTAGTGGAATAGCCATAGGAATTAGTTGACCTTCAAGTGGACCACAGGCAGAAGGTACATCTCGACTTGGAATGAAAAGATACTGATTTTCTTGGGCAAGTGCACATAAAGGATGCTGCTTTCTAGGGCTGGTTACCACCTTCTGTATATGAGAACAAGTCTGTGTCTTTGCTGACTTGACTTTTGTACCTGAAACAAGAACAGATGAATGTGTGTCATCAACACATGTACAAACCCAGGAACACCACACACTCTACTGATTTAAGCCTTTCCACTGAAACAGTAATGAATTTTTACTGTGGGATAGAGGGAAAGAAGGAAGGAGACAGGAAGAGCAGAATCTAAAAGTGCTAACCTAGATGACACAGTATTGACAGCGATGAAGGAGTTAGAATTACAATTCTTGAGCATCTGAATCTAGCAAATGAAGGCACAGAAGCGTGAAGAGAAAGGACATAAGTATGGTAGTAGGTGGGAAAGAAATGTGTGATTTAGCAGCTAAGAAAAAAAAAAAAACATGATTTAGGTTTGAAATATGACATCAGAAGAGCATGCAAGCCTGGCATGAAAAACAGGCAGGGTATAGAATAGAGCCAAACCTATTTGAACCTGTTGTTCATCTGATTAACTGCCTTCATTTTATAACCATGCTGTTTGTCTCCAGACACAAGACTGACAGGTACTCAAAGCAATAAGTATAACCAACAAAATCCTGGTTTAACAGCTCACTGCTACTGGAAAATAAAGGCATAACTGATGTCTGTAAGTCTTAACTTGCAGCATTGAGGAAGCACTAATTTTTTGGTCCAGTTTTGAAAATGTATGAACCCAGAAGTAATTTGCATGTCACAATGCCTACACATATAGCAGAGGAGAACATTTATTGCAATGCTGTTTTTCTCAACTATGCAGCCAGGCAAGGTCTTATTTAACCTATATTCTTTGTAAATGATGGATGTTATCGAGGAAATCATTAACTTTAATCTAAACAGATAAAAACTGCCTGAAACATCCCCAGAAAAGGAGTCAGAAATCATGAATCCAACAGAAGTGCTTCTACTGCTATTTTGCAGGTGTTAGGATAATGAACCTGGAAAGAAGCACATTGGTAATTAATTCCATACCTTCACTACAGCCAGAAAATGTCACCTTACTCTTCTGCTGCCCCTTAGTCATCACCCTTTCTGTATTCATGGTCACTTAACACATGGCAACAAGTACTTTTTAGCTCTGGTCACATTTAATATCTTCTGAATTAATTGAAGAATAAAAGTTAATGATTATAAAATTTAGGGGTAATAAAGATTGATAATGTGACAAATGAAGACAAGCAAGCAAGGCAGTTCACTCAAGAAGTTGTGTTTTTGCACACATAAATTATGGTTTATAAACCTAGAAAGAAGAATGGCAAGTCATTACTCTTCACTGAGAACATGCAGGTCAGGAAGAAATGTCTCTGAAAAAGGCTGTAAGGTCATGTTGGGTAAGCAATGCAATGAGAAATGACAATACAGTGCCATGGTCAGTGGATAGATGTAATCCTCACGTGTCTCCACAGAACACCAGTGAGGTGGAGCAGAAGACTTCCATATATGACAATACTGCACTCAATACTAATTCTGTATCTCTGCAAATACTAAAATAGATTAGCCATTAAATAGGACTTTTTCATTTTATAAGGAAAAACACGTGGAAACTGAAGTAGCTGTAAAGTGAAGCCAAAAACTCACTATAAATCAGATACTAAATTTGAAGTGCACCATTTGCTTCTGAACCATAAGGTATCTAGCCATGGAAAGAAGTAATTAAAGGCAGAATTTCTGATGTCTTTAAATGATGAGCATGTGCCTTTCTGCAAAGCACAGGTTAGCCAGGAAAACTGTTCTTTAGTCAAAGACAAATTACTGGCCTCAGTAACATAAATAGACACAGTTCAGTGGCTGGTGATTTAGGTCATACCACATGATCTAACAGTCCCCCCTGGCCTTGAACTTTTGAGTAAAAGCAGAAATTGGCAACATATCTGCAATACTGCCAACTTGTAAAAACAAGTTTCTCACAGTAAGAATGATTAAGTACTGTATACACACAGCACCTCATTTTAATTGCTTTCAACTTTTCGTTTCCCCATGAAAAGTTTATTTGCACTGGGCAGAAACTAGACATTTAATTAAACTTAGCTTTAAAAATCTAGTGTTTTACATATATTTATCAGTTCAAATTATGCAAGAAAACAACTCCAACTTTTTTTAGAAATGCCCTCTTACTCATAGAAGTGTTAGCTGGATTTTTTCCTAACTTCCCATAAGAAACCAAGCGTTAGTCACTGAAGTTTATTTGCAAAGAAAATGGTTAAGAGAGTTATAAAATGACTGAAAAGAGACTCTCCAGATGGCCATTTCAGTCTTAAATAAACATCCTTATTCTAACACTAATTTAAAACAAGCTCAGTGGACTGCTCTAACAAAATAGAAGTAATTTAATAAGTCTGGATTTTCCAGCCAATCCAACCCAAGGCCAAGGACTTCCAATAATTTTTACATCTTTCTCACCTGGTACATCAAGGCCAGGAAAGGCATCTCTGGGTGCAGATCCATGAAGGAAAGAGCTAACCATGCCTAATGCGAGCAAGATTTTCTGTTTTTAAGAACCTGGTGCTTTAAAGTGCTAGTTCAACTTTGTTTCATTTTATTTACACTCCTACTATAGAGGATTACAGATCTGTTTCTGATTTCATTATTTGTAGTCTGCTGCCATAACAGCAGCTTTCAGAAGAGCAGCCCTCAAAAGCAGTTAACTATTTTGTCTTCATGAGCCCCATGTGAAACACAGAAGTATTACTTTTCCACCTCATTGGCAAGATGTATGAAAGCACAAAAATTAAGCAGCTTGATCAACTGTCTTATAAGAAGTGTCAGAGACAAGTAATGCCAGTATCAAACAAAGACTGAGGCCAATAAAACCAGAAAGCTTGGAAATAGGACACATATTAATGGGGGCCTACTATTCTTCTAAGGGACATGCAAAAAATTCCATATTCTTCCTTTCTTCCCTTAGGTAAGAATATGAGGGGTGTCTTCTCCTACTTACTGTAAAGATAGAAAGAAAACCACAACTTTCTGTAACTGCAGTCTGATGCAAAATAGAGAAACAAATTTTATGGTGGCTTTATTATTGCAAACACACGTTGTTGCACTGCTGGAGGATGACTTAATGACTTGGAAGAGAATCACATTGGGTAAAGGCTATCCAGAGTTCATTCTGTTTTCAAGCAAAGAGCTTTGAAACTGTATTTTAAATTGTATTTGTTACATGTAGGAGTTCCAGAAGACTGGATGCAGCATGGATCCAGTACAGTTTTCTCTTTTATTTCTATTCATCTTCAACAGAAAAAAGCTGAAACACAGGAGCAGCTTATTACAACCACGTGTAACCTGCACCTTCAAATTTCACTGACACTACTGAATTAAACACCTTACCACTAGAAAACTTGTAGGATTAAATGATCAAATGATCTACTTATCATAATTAGATCGGGAGGAAGAAGGGAAGTTTTTCCTGCCTCTTTACAAGGTATTGTTACTGGAATGATGAAATTGGCCTCTCTGAAAAGGTTCTGACCTTCTATAAAGGACAAGAGCCTAATAAATATAAAAGAAAAACATCATTTAGGACTCAGCAAAAGCAGAACTGCTGATTAAATACTTTTAAAAGAAGTATCTGTTCTCAATCCAAATCTTAGCAGTCACCATATCATGATTATTGCTACACCAACTGCTTACTAGCACAAATTTTATTAAAAAAAATTATCTGTACAGAATTAACTAAAGCACAGGCGTGCAGCATAGCCAGTAGTCAAAAAGAGTAATATATCATACTGATCCTTCAAATGAGTATACCAGCATTTTTCACAAAAACAAAAAGAACTGTTTCAAGAGAGCTAAAATAAAATACATAAGCTACAAGACTAGTGGTTTTCAGATACTAAGTTCCCACCATTAAAAAAACAGATCAAGTTTTGAAAAGTCCCCTAGCTTTTTGCCAGGCCTGTAACCCACATTTTCCCAGAGGGTTAGGAGAATTGCAAATACTTCCTGTCAATAACACTTTTTCTTCATGGATCACAACTGGGCTCCAGACCACAGGTGAGAAAAGAGCCAGAAAATGGCAAAAAGGCTACCCTAAGATGAACAGTAGCTTCTTGTACTATTTTGAGCATTTGCCACTATGGATGTGTGTCATAATGTCAAAAAAAACCTCATCAAAACCAAAACAAAACCAACCCAAAGCTCAGCAGTGCCTGTCTTCAAATATATATGTGTTTTGTACCATACACTTCAATGGCCTAAAAACACAGTCTCATCAAGTGACTGCCTTCTCATGTTAACCTCTTATATTTCATAGAGGAAATAATATTGACAGATATAATAAAAACTTGGGACACCATTTCCTAACCATGACAGTTCAGATGGCAGTTAATTTTTTTCAGCACTATTAAATAAACCAGATCCAATTAAAACATTACTTTCTACTAACTCAAAGTTTATCTACGCTTACCTTATTACTTTTACACATTTTTAACACGTTTGAATATTATAATCTTCTGGCCCAACACTTTTGCCTACAAACCTAATGAATGGAATTCATTACTAATCAGCTGATAACCTTGATCAATCAAATAAATAACCTTAACAAGCTAGTGCAAAATGGTTACACTCTTTTAACCCTGACTTGACTAACAAAAGAAGTTACCTGTATTTAGTGAACCTTACCAATGCTTCCAATTAACATCTCTTGCAATATTTTCATGTTAATAGATGTCATCCTCACACCCATAAATTTAAATTTTCATAGTTCAATTTATGTATTAGGAGTGGGAAATGAAATGTCAGGCTTCCTTAATTTTTCAAATCTCAGATTTTTAACTCTGAATGAATCAAACACCAAAATGACATGACAGGATAAACCTGACATGAAGAATGCATCTCTCAGTAACCTTTTTCAAAAGCTGAGTTAGCTTTTCAACATGCTCAGCTTGCAGGTGCTTATGTCATTTCTTCCAGCAACTCAGCTCTTTAAGACTTGAGCAACAATAAACATATATTAGTATGTTTATTAAAATTACAAATATTATTAATTTGACAACCTAAATAAAGTGAGATACACACGAAGCAAATCTGAAAACCTACAGCTACTTTTTTAAGTTTTGAGAAGACTATTTCAGTTGGATGGGGTCTACAATGATCATCTAGTCCAACTGCCTGACCACTTCAGGGCTGACAAAAATTCAAAGCAAGTTATTAGGGGCATTTTCCAAATCCATCTTAGACACTGGCAAGCATGGGGCATCAGCCACCTCACCAGGAAGCAGAACCACCTACTGCAGTGGCTTCAGCTTTAAACTGAAGTGAAGGTAAACTGTGATTAAATAGCTTCATTTGTATACAGAATTCCTAATAGGAAAAATGGGAAGCAGGGACTGGCTGGAGAGCAGCCCG